AAGTATTTTCATTACATCTATAGATGATCATTTTGTTATGAATCAATTTCATGAGCTTGAATGCATGCTTAATAGCTTTAGGCAATATAATGCTAATATGGATAAAGCTATTGTCGTGTATTCTATAATTGATAACCTTCCCCTTTCATGGAGAGACATTAAGAAAACTCTAAAACAAAAGAAAGAAGAGATGTCTCTTAAGGTCCTTGGTAATCATTTTCGAATAGAATAAGATCATGGCAAACAAGAAGAAGTCAAGCAAGATAAAACAAAAAGAGATTCTAATGGAAAGAATCTCAAACTTCAAATGTCATGATGGAACAAAAAAAATCAAACAAGTCAGTTTTGTACAACAAAAGAAAACATTTTGATGGTATGAATGACAAAAGGTGTAAGATCAAAAGGAACAAAAATGGTCTATGTTTTCATTGTAACAAACTTAGACACTTCAAGGCAAAATGAAGAGTTTTGAAATACAATCCATAAGGTGTGAACAACAACAAGTTTGTTGCTATGGTTTCCAAGGTCAATCTTCTCCAAGATGATGGAGCATAGTGCATTGACACTAGTGCAACTAAGCATGTATGCAAGGACAAGAGTTTCTTCAAGTGCTTGGAAGCTAATAATGATGGAATCGTGTTATACATGAGAAATTCCTCTATTACACAAGTGAAAGGAAAAGGCACCATAGAACACATATTTACTTTTGGAAGAGTACCTGTACTAAACAATGTCTATTATGTACTGAAAATTAGAAAAAAATCTTGTGTAGGGTAGCTTGTTGAATAAATATAGCTTCAAATTAAAATTTGAGGCGGATAAGTTCATTTTTATAAAAAGTGAACAAAATGTGGGAAGTGGATACTTATGTGAAGACATGTTCAAGCTTAATATTAATAAAAATGCTACTAGTTCTTCTTATATTGATGCCTCATTTTAAAGTTTATGATAGTAAAGCAACATTCTCTAATTTATGGCATAATAGATTAGGTCATATCCATTATAGAAGAATGCAAGATACAACTAAATTAGAGTTGATACCTAATATTGATGAAAATAATGATATGTGCAAGACATGCATGGTTACTAAAATCAGAAGAAGCTCATTTCCTAAGGTAGAAAGAACCTCTAACTTGCTTGCATGAATGCATTTTGATGTTTGTGACATGCATAAGACTCCATCTATTGGTGGAAAGACATACCTAGTAACATTTATAGATGACTTCTCAAGATGTTGCAATGTTTACTTATTGCACGCTTAAAATCTATAAAAATGAAATTGAATTGCATTGTGAATTGCTTACCACATGTTTATGAAAAGATATAGGAGGTGAATAATATGATCTCAAGTATTTTAAGTCTACTAGTATTATTCATGAGATTACTACCCCATACGCACCAAAACAAAATGGTGTAGTCGAGCATAAGAATATAGTTCTTACGAAAATGGTCAATGCTTTGCTTTCTAATTGAGGTTTGGAAAAGGATTTTGGGGCAAAACCTTATTAATAGCTTGTCATATACTAAATAGAATCCCAAACAAAATGAGTAAAGCTACTTCTTATGAACTATGAAAAAGAAGAAAATCAAACTTTAATTATTTAAGAGTTTGGGGATGTTGAGCCATAGTAAAAGTTTCGAAACCAAAGAAAAAGAAATTGGGTGAAAGGAATTGATTATATATTCATAGGATATGGTGAACATAGTAAAGCAATTTGTTTCATGGTGATAGAGCCTAATAATTTATATTCCATTAATATGGTCATAAAATCAAGGGATGCTATCTTTGATAAAATAAGGGTCAATTCAATTTCAAGACCTAAAGAACTAGTGACAGAAAGTGATAAACTTTCAAAAAATGGTGAGGAAACTATTGAGCTTCGAAAAAGTAGAAGAAGTACAAAAGTAAAGACATATGGATTCAAGTTTCTTATGTACTTTAGTAGAAGGTACAAGAGAATAAATATGTGAATACTTACCTTATTGCTTTTATGTAAAAGATGAAAGTGATCTTTAAACTTATAAGGAGACAATGTGGTTTGAGATGCTTTCGTTTAGAGAGAAGTAATACAAGATGAGATAGACTCGATAATGGAAAAAAAAACTTGAAAATTTTGATAATATTTTTTGTATATTTTTACAACACTTTTTTAAATTTAATTGCATTATACAAATATTGAGTAGTATTATAAACAAAATATAGTTATAGAGATTGTATACACTAACAATATTGTATTTTTTATATTGCTACTAAATGTAGAAAAATACAATTAAAAATTTAAATAACTGTATTTTTTTAAAATTATACAATATAAAAAAAATTGTCTAAAAAAGTTTAATTAAAGCTCAAATTTGTTGTAGTGATTCAAGAAATACAGTGACGAATCCATTGCTGGAGCTAGAGGCTTATACTAAGATCAAATAGTCAAACATTAATCGAAGGGTGCTCCAAACATTTAACCCAGAAAGGGAGAAAGGAAAAGAGGTTGAGTTGTGCTGTATGTTCTAATCACATCTGGGAAAACATTTCGTAGTTTAAGCAAAAAAAGTTTGGCCCAAGATAAAATTATCCCTTTCTCCTTGTCTGTATCTTTTTTATTATTATTAGTACTATTATTTGTCTATTGGATAATTCCCTTTCCCCCCCCTGATGCTGCAGCTTAATTAGGTGAGATGGAGTTATCAGAAATGCAAGCGAGTGGTGGGCAGTTTGCAGTCCAGCTTAACCTATTGCTTGGGGCGCACATGTTAGGGCTAGGTAGGGTTAGGCTAACTTTCATTTTGGTTTCCCAGTTTCTAACTGCGGGGTTTGAGTAGCTGGATGAGTTGTTGATATCATTCAGCCAATTGGAATGCCATTACTGGTGAGTTCAATCCAACATCCCAACCATCATCCTCAATCTCATAAATCTTGCAAACTCAAGCACCTGAAACTCTTGAGTTCTTAAATATTTATCTTGTGCCCACAACACATTTGGCTTAAATGTTGTCGTCGTCTTTCAAGGCACAGACTGCATTAAATTGTCTCAGTAGGTTTCATTAGCTATTCAGTAGTTCAGTTTGTAGGGTTTTCTTTATCTAGCTTTAACTAAGACACCATTATTAATTAACGGTACTTTTCAATGGAAAGAAACGAATCGCTATTAATTGAAGCAGAAAAAAAAAGGAAAAGAAGAGTTATTAAAATACTGTACTATTTTAACCTATAGGTTCTAGAAGGATTATTGTATGATTGCCAAATTTCAAAAATATATCAGATTTTACTGCAATTTGTACTGTTATAGCAATCAGAAAAGTGTGTTTAAGATTCTCTGGATCCCATATGTAGGAGTCAGCTTAGGGCTAGAATTAAGCCATCTCAAGAATCAAAGGTATAACCATGTGTCTTTATGAAGTAACTTTGTGGAACGGTTTTCTAATTTCCCATTCTTATTTAAACAGTCCTAGTCATTTTTTTTCCATTATTTTTTTAGCTTTAACTAGATGATTGTCAGGTGGGACAATAAAAAAAAAAAAAACTCTGTAGCTCTTCTATTTTCAGGTGATCCAGAAGTTCTTTAACTTGCTCTTCAATGAAATCAAAGCCGCTGATCAAGCACAGGCTGTTAGGAAGCCATATCGAGCTTAGGTTTGGTGAAACAAGAAGCTATACAAAAGCACTAGGGTGGAAACACAATTCCTTGATAATGTAAAGATCAACATATGTAGAATTAATTCTATGCATTATTGAAATCTAATGTAATTAGTGGATAAGCTCATGCTAGGAAAGAAAAGAAACTGATGGGAGCTTGAGAAAATCTGAAATGCAACATCCAAAAATCTACTTGGAAGCTGCGCCATAAACAAATTCCATTGTAGTTTAAGCTGTTTTGGAAGCAGAATTATACGTCAGTGTGCAAGTTCACTAGCTAATCTTCATATTTACTACTGCAGGTCGATTTTCAACATATCTTCCAACAGTTCTTGCCAACGTAATAACTCAACCTTGATCTCAAATAGTATTTACATCTTGCTTAGTTTATGAGCTGTGAGCTCATGGTTTCTGTAGAATATCGTGACATAAGCTACCTAGCTGACACTTAGCTGCGCGCTACTACTTCATAAAATATTTAGATCCTTACTGAATCTAAGAGTAAAAGCATTTATAATCGCACGGTAATTAAACAATATGAATATAAAGATCCCGCGCAATTGTGTGTTTGTGTGCATATGTAAATTATATCTGTTCAATTCTCTAAGGAAACCTTGAGGTCTTGTAGTTCAAGTTCTGGCTTACAGCTGAAATAGAGAAAAGGGATGGGGAAAAGATTAATTAGCTCCTATTACATCCCAGACGTGATAATAATGGAAAAATAAAAAGAAATTCCTTTTTATGCAAAGGGATGGAAAAAGTTACCTCCTTTTTTATTCAGATGAATGAACAAAATCCTCGATGACTATTATTTATAGATGGATAGGAAAGCCTGCAGTTAGACGTTAATATTATTATACAACTCTTCACCCCCGTTACCACCTAATTGAAGTTAAGCCAAGGTAGGGAAGAAAACAAGTAACGTTCATTGTTTACTTTCACTAGTGTTTTACCTATACCTTTTTCTTCAGTTAGCACCCAAAAGTAATGGTTTCGTGAATTAGAGTATTCCATTCTACTACTGTGGCCTTCATAAAGCGGAAGTAATGCAGTTCGTCAAAAGAAGTAACTTAGCTAAGTAGGAAAATACCCCAAGATGAGAAATTTTGCACTCCATTATTGAAGTTTAACATAAGCATCATGGACAAATTAAATATAAGTAAAAAAAATCAAAACTGTTGTAATGGAGAGGCGTTAGGGCAACACTGAGGAGGTCAGTAAAACTGGGAAAAGGAAGAAAAAGAGAAGCATTCATAACTGTATACCAGCACTGCATTAATATTAGGAACACAACATTTAATTAACAAATCTCGCGAGGTAAGAGGAAAAAGAAAAACAGAATAAAAAAATTCAGTGCTCATCAGACTTTTCTTGACAGAGTTGATTGTTTCTCGTCAGGAAACTCTCAGCAAAAATGTGTTCAATGGAGTTTCAGCAGCTTCTCTCTAGGTCATTGCCCATACTGTGCAAGCATGGTGTAAACATAAATGTCTCAAAAATCAAGAAGATCCCAATTTTGGTTCTGGAGAGAGAGAAACAGGACCACCCCTCCACCAGCTCCAGTCAAAGTTGGATGAATGCAACAAGAAAAGCACACTAAAGTCTAAAACATAGCAATAGATATAAGAAACATAAGAAAAAGCATTCATTGCCATGCAAAAAAAATCCAAATGCAAAAAGGGGGTTAGAAACTTTTAGTTCATATCTAACTTCTTGTCCCACCTCCCAGCTGTAGTCCCCATTTCTCACGGTTGCTTTGGCACAAAACAACTCAACCCCTCCAATCCCCACAGCTCCAAGCCAAACTAGCTGAGAGTGTCCATGAGCTCAAAAAGCTGCCCCAATCCCTGTACATAAACCAAAAACTTCTCTTTCTCTCCTTCCTTGCATGACCCCATTTGTCAGTTTGTTAAGTCTCTCTCTCTGGCTGGCGTGTCCAAGCAGATTAATATACTTCATAAACATAACCATAAAATTTAAAAGGAGAAGAAAAAGATAAAACAATCTTTAGAACCCGTCCTGAAATCGATTGATCGTTGAAGGATGATCCAACCGCTGCTGTGTCCCGCCTGCATAGCTCCTACCCCAATTCAACCCCTCTTCCTGATTGCTCAGTGACACGTCTCTACCACCAGCACCTCCTCCTCCTCCCCCCAAGTCCGCTGCCCGACTTGAACCAGGCCCGAACCCATGTCCAACTGGCGCCCCAATGCAAGCGTAATTAGGCTCTGGTTCACCCAGGTAGTTTAGGTTTTGGTGAGGGTATTGTGATGAACTGCTGCTTCCTAGGACATGTCCTACATAGTAGTCGTTCATGGGGTGAGTTGGGTATTGGGAAGGGTAGGAGCTGAGGCGTGACGGTGATGGGTGTATATAAGGTTGCGGTGGCTGCAATGGTGGTGGCAAGAGCGTTGATGAAGAACCAGAGAACAATCTTGGTGGGTAAACTGATCTGAATGGTAGCGTTGGATCTCCAACGTTGCCTCCTGGATGGTAGCTTGGATGGCTGCTGCAATGATTGGAATATTTCATGTCTTTCCTTAGCTCAATGTCATAAGTGGAAAGATTTGTAATAATCAAACTCATGAGGCAACTATATAACTTAAACGAATTTAATCAATTGCCTCTCTTCTTTAGTGCAAAACAAAATACTTATAAGATCTTGAAATCAAGTGGGTGTACTAATACTTTTGCTCCTAAAAAACAACATGAGTCATTTGATTCTGCAAAGAATTGAGGAAAAGCAACCTCAAAAGGAAGAATGAAATGACGAAGATGAAAAGGAGGAGAAAACTTTGATGTCGATCTTCTACTTGGAGAAACATACCCTAGATGCCCTTGGGCGGCCAAGTTATCGTTATTGAAGACCAGCTGACGAGCCCGGTTCAGTGTCTCAGTCTCCCTTTCTGACCACCCAACAACAACGCAAATCAAATCAAATCAAAAGCACTCAACTCCAAAAACCAGACCAAGAATTTCAGCGACGAAACCAACTTAGGTTTCATCAAGATTGACATGACCACGCTTCATGAGCAAAGCTATGGCAACAACCTCTGACGATTCCCTAAGTGTGTAGTAAAATAAAGATAGTGACTTGGCTAATCTACCGCAAAATATATGTTAAGACATATGCGGTATAAAGAATCGAAATGACTTGCCTTGTCGGTGGCGGTTCATGTGCCCCCCAAGAGCTTGAGATTTGCAAAACTTGAGGGAACAAAACCTACATTCATAGACCTTCCCGCACTCATCTTTCCCATCCTTTGCGCCGCTTTTCTTTTTCCTATAGCCTGCTTCAAAGAACACCAATTAAAGCAACTTCGATGAGACCATTCTTGGCCCAAAACCCGAACCCTAATTTACCCAATTCGTGTATAAATACTAACAAACCTGATTAAAACCCTCAATCTCTTGCTCTCCTCTCTACTGCTTCCTTTCTCATGTTTGATCATTTAAAGCTTCAAAAGAAACTTGTGCTCTTTTTAAGCTTATAAACACAGCTAGTCTATTCTATGTAGAGCATTGAAGAGCGTGAAAAAGAATAAACATTTTTTTTCTGTTCAAATCTTGAAGAACCATCAGTGTGTTTAATTTTCTTTTTTCTTCTTGTTCTTGTTTATTTCAAGGGTCTGTCTATAAACATGAGTAAACATTTCATGTTTATTAGTATTATTATATAGTAGTAGTATTTATTTTTGTAGAAGGATTAAAAAAAGGAAAGGCTTAAATTATATTGCCAATGTTAAGTATATAGTAGCAGTACGAGAAAATTGTGAATATACCCGAGGAGGAGCCGTCCTCGAAAACCTGTTTACCGTCCCTAGTGTAATCATCGGGCAAGTTGTTGAGGTCTAAAGGGTTCTTCTCTGGTCTCCTGCAAACACAAAAAGATGAAGACAGTCACAAAAATTAGGAGAAGGTTGGGAGAGAGACAGGGAGTCAAAGAAGAAAAGGGGAGGTTAAAGAGAAAGAGAACATGAGATAGAGGAGCTGTGAAGGAGAAGTAGTGTTGATGTGGGGAGACCTACATGGTACCGACAGAGAAAGACAGAAAAATATGAGGTAAACAATCTTTCAGATGGGAAGATAACTAAAGCTTTAGAAAATTATAAGACTTCAGTTTGAGACTGCAATATAGAGGCTAGTTGAGTGAAGGTGGAGAAAAGGAGCTTTGAAAGTTCTCTATCAGTTTCCCTGCCACCCTCTCTGGACTCATCTCTCTCTCTCTCTCTCTCTCTCTCTCCTCTCTCAAATTGAAAGAACAATAAGGGACAGTGGGTCTCGTGACTTTAAAAAGGGGAAGGTGAGTGTTTGTGTTTATGTTTATTGGAAGTCCTCAGGCAGGTGTTGGTGTGATTTGGTTGGTTTGAGAGAAGTACGTTTGCCTTAGTGAAGAGGGCCTATAGAGGTCTATTGCCCTAGAAACTAGTTCCATGAAATAATGAAGGTGCGCAAAATAGTTACAGCGGTCGCTAACAGGATTTGCCATAAAGAGATTGCAGTCAAACGCCTCATGTCCTTATGTCCTTTGCACAATAAGGCATTTAAGCAAAAGTTTCAACAATCCAAGATGATGGAAATTTAGACATGGTTCAAGCCTAGCTAGCCCTAAAATTAAGCTGCTTCCTACTCATTATTTGAAGATCAAGGAGGCATGCTAAAAGGTTAATGGTTGGTCCCCGTGTAGCTTTAAGGCTTCCTGGGCATCATTGTACCCTGAGCTTTGCCATGGAACATGGAACTGTTACTATCAAGATCTCATCATCAGGTTTTTTGTGATCTAAGTTGGGATATAGACTGAACCCCACAAAAGTGTTGTTTTATTCTTTGGAAGTTCCTTGGTTGCTTGATCAAGGTCCTTTTCAATCAATATAAAAACAAAAAGTTATTGTGCTTTGTTTTCTTTTATATTTTTTTGTTTCCATTTTTCACTTGAAAAAATCAGCTAGTCGCTGTGCCCGTAGCTAGATAATTTCTCTGTTCTTTTCCCCCAAATACTAAAAACTCCTCCAGAACCCGCATAGCAAAACTATGCATTGAAAGATCATCAAATGAAGAGAGTGGTGAAATTATAGCTCCACTTCAAATTTTGATGCTTTAGAATAAATTTAAGAATTTGACATTTACCCTCTCCATTTGAAATTGAATGTTCACTTTTCAAACAGCACCAAATTTTAGAATTCATGTATTTTATTCTTTACTTTACAACCATTGCCCTTAAAAATTATAAAAGCTAAAGGGATCCGCCTAAATTTAATATACCAATGAAGGGTAACATTGTAAAAAAGTGTTATATTTTGAAATTTTAAAAAATTCTCGAATAATATTATCAACCATCAATTTAAATAGGAAGGAGAATAAATATTTACAAGGTATTATGAATAATTGAAATGGAAAAATATTTACAAAATTTTTGTTTTGGTAAGTCAAAGGGATTTATTCAGTAACCAGATAGTTACAAACTAGCAAAATAGCTAGTCAAGCGAAAGAACGTATTCTTTGCAAAGACAAAAGCAAACCAACAAAAGCAACCTCAAAATGAAAACAAAGATCAAAACACCAAGAGAAAGACTACACACCCTGAAGAACTATTTTAAAAGACAAGAGAAGTCTAAGTGAACGACACAAAAAATAAAAATTTGATGCAAAGCCAAAATCAAAATCAATAACAGTCTCCAAGTTTCGGAAGACCGTAGCAACCAGTCCAAGACAAAGAAGAGTCCCAACAATCATAGGTGTTGGCTAATTTACCATTTAAGTGTACGCATCATTAACAACTAATATAATGAATAGCAGAGTATTATTCCTACAAGGAATTGTATTTAAATTTTGCTAAGTATTAACATTGCCACAACTTAATCTTATCCAAGCAACTAATTTTTAAAACTACTAAAAATGAAAATAAGTAAAACTTTTTTTTGGCTCAGTCAAAAACCAAAATTTGATTAAAAGAGGAAGAATTTACAGCAAGATAGCTCCCCTAAATAAGAGGAAAAAATAAAAGATCAAACAGACCTGACCACAAGCAAAAGAAAAGTAAAAAAGAGCGACTAGCAAAATCACAGCAGGACAAAAAAAAAATAAAGGCAGCAACCCAGGAGAGAGTGACAAAAACAAAGTTGCAAAATCAAAACCATGATTTGCAAAGAAAAGAAAGTCCCAGATCACCACCAAGCAACAAATATATTACTTCGAACAACACCTATTTTTGCCAAAGCATCAGTAAAAGAATTTCCTTCACGAAGTACATGGGAGAAACTAACATTACCTGTATAGGATGAGCGAATCAATGTCGTTAAAAATAAGCCAATGATTCTAATATCGAGCAGAGACATCATTCACCTAAGCAAGAGCAGTAGTTGAAATAGACTTAATTATTAAACTATAGTTTTTAAAGGGTGATGGTGAGAAAGGACGAAGTGCATGAAGTATTCTTGTAAGTTTAGCAAAATTAAAATCTTGAAATCCAAAAGGTCCCAAGAAATACCAACAACAAAGCCATTTCAATTCCTTAGAACTCCTCCACAACTAGTAAGACTAGGTTTACCTCTTGTAGAACTGTCAACATTGAATTTGAGTTCGCCCATATTTGGTGTACTGCCATGAGATGCCAACACGAGTGACAGTCAAGGATTTTGCATTAAGAGTGTGACCTAGATCATTCCACCATTCAGATTCATTGATACTTGCAATTCCATCATAGGCACGAATTCAAAGGAAGGAACGTGGTTGAATAGGAAAGAGAACCTTATCTAGATTCCATATTTTATTGGAGCATACCTCTTTGTTTCGAGCAAGCCATAAATACTATAAAGATGCAACACAAATATTCATCCAACATCTAAGAACATAACGTTGGAACGATACATCAATCCATGATTGAACGAAGGAGGAAATTTGTTGATATATGCTTTTGAGCCAATTGGATTGGTCAAAGAATCTATATATTGTCATTGAATGCGTATTTAATTGCAAAATTACATGTGATAGAGGTTTTCTTCATGTTAGTGTAATAATAAAGAGTTATTAAGCACTAATTGGATAAAGCCCATGGAACATAAGGCCTTGTAAGAAATTTGTAAAGTTGTTATAATTATGAGATCACTGTGCATCAAAGCCATGTTCTTAAAATTATTCCTAGTCATTGTATTGTCAAGACAGGGCATTGATAATATTCAAAGACTGGTATATGTTAAGCTTATTTACTTAAGAAGTAAGCAATCAATTTTATAGATTGAAGTATATAGGATACTTGAGAATAATATGTGGGTGTTTGTTAAAGAACAAGTTCACTGAATATGACCATTTATGAGAACTCCACTTCGTATTTCACTCAAGTGTCTATGGATTATGTTCTCATGTGATACTCATGCAACTAGTCCTCGAACTTGAGACACCAAGTCATCTTATATGAAGAATGACATACTTTGATTTCATTTTTACGAGTTTGAAGGTGACCAGATGCCTAAATTAAGTGTTTTTAGGTATACTATAAAGCATGCGAAGGTGGATGAGTGGTCAAGTGAGGATTCATCACCCTAAGTGATATGAGAGGATGTATCTTACTTGTTCTCAATTCCAGATTAACTTGTATGATGAATTTGAGGAAAGTTACTTTCCTAATTTCAAAAGGTCAGTAATGAATTATGAAAAGAATATGGAATGTCATATATACACACTAAGCAATGATTAATGACATATTTAGGATATTTGATGAAAGGACCATACAGCTGATGATCTATAAATATAAATCAATCATGAAATTGATATTTGATTATGACTTATATCTATTGCCAACATATTAGAAGCCTAATGGATCGCACATATTAAGTGACATAATTGGGATTAAATAAGGATAATCAATTAAGTTGGACTTAATTGAAATAAACCAAAATAAAGTTAAAAAATTAATTAAGTTCACAAGGATTTAATTGAGTAAAAATACAAATGTTGTATCTAGGGTTACAACTTAGTTTGGCTATATAAATATGTTATGTTATCCAACTAAAACTCTAAGGCCTCAACTACTTCTTAGCCATTTCATAAAAATAAGAAAAAGAAAAATAGTTTTCTTTCTCTGATAGAAACAAGATTCAGCAAGAACTTTTGGTCTTTTTATTTTAGAAACAAAACTTGCTAGCTCAAGTAAAATCCTACTTTTAAGAAGGTTTTATTCAACCACTGTGTAGATTACTATTAAAGGCCAAACACTTAGATGGCTAAAAATTTGACAAACTATAAAGTTGAAAAAGCAAAGATTTCAACTGCAGAATTTCATACTGTCTTATTCTTCTTTTTGATTAATTGCTTTATCACAAGTGTTTTTAGATTTAATTGGCTCTTGATTACGATATCGAAAGCAAGGTATGTAATTCTTAAACTTATGAATGTTCATAATTAATATGAAAATTACATGAAAAAAAAACACGAACATTAATCTTAAAGGATTTGACTATTTCTCTTATTAAATGAATTTTTATTTTTTTGTTGTGATATGCTTTGATTTTTCATTATTTTCATGTTTGAGTATGAAGCTGAATCCCAAACAAAATTGCGCAAGGAATGGTCCATGAGATTCCTCATGAATTAGGTACTAGACACTAAACATTCTAGCTGAGAGAACAAGTGATAAGAATATGATGGCAATTTTCCAACTCTGACCTACATCGAACGCAAGAAATTTGGTCATCATTAAGAGGAATGCCATGGGAGGCAAGGAAATGCTTAGTAGGAATAGAATCAAGAATAGAATGCCCAAAAAAAAAACATTGCACTTTAGAAGGAATTGAAAACTTCCAAATGGAATGAAACCAAAGGTTACTATCAAGAGGATTTGAATCAAGGATAGAACAGAAAGTCTTAATAGAAAATTGACCTTTGGAGTGCGCTTCCAAATAAGTTGCCTTCTTTATCTTAGAGGAAGGAAATCCTAAAAAAGGAAGCAAGAACTTCATCATAGTCAGCAGATTCTTAAAAGTAAAAAGATCTTCTAAATTTTAGAAACTAAGGACCATTATTTTAGACATCACATACCTTGGCTTCCATATCCAAACCAATAGAGAAAAGATAGGGATATGTAGTGCATAGAGAAAAGTCATCCAAAAACCATCTATCAAACTAGAAAAAAATAGATTCATCATTACTAAGAGTCCATCTGCGAGCTTAAGATCTAACAATGTCATGAACTTTATCATTGGTAAGGTGTTGGGTAATGCATATCCATACAGTAGACATTTTATAAGGCTAAG